ACTCCCTTACCGTGCTTCCACCCGCCTGCCTTACCGTGCTTCCACCTGTCTGCCTTACCGTGCTTCCACCTGCCTGCCTTACCATGCTTCCACCTACCTGCCTTACCGTGCTTCACCTAACTGCCTTACCGTGCTTCCACCTGACTCCCTTACCGTGCTTCCACCTGCCTGCCTTACCGTGCTTCCACCCAACTCCCTTACCGTGCTTCCACCTGCCTGCCTTAGCGTGCATGAGGCCGGCGGCTATCGTCACCGGGTCGGGTTCGATTTTGAACCCCCCCCCCTGACATTTTTTTAGGTATGAAAAGTAGGACTGAGTCCTTGCTCAGCAGCTTTGCTCGTTGTAAACCAACCAATCAGCGCACAGCTCATCTAAATATTCATGAGCATACCATAAAAAGAAGAAAACCTGTCGTTTCATTCTAGGGCTTTTTACCAGGTTTGCATTTCGACTCATAGAACAGCAAATATACCATTTTCAGCCCAACCAATGTTACACACCCTATTCAGAGACCCTAAGCACCAAATACCCTATATAATCATTCTATGACCCCTTTAACATTACGTTTTTGCTTCCCTGAAACCATAAGTGGAGCAGCATGCACTGGAAAAAATCGAAATCTAGATAAGTACATTTTTCTTAATATAACTGGATTTGTTCTTGAATTGAGGAAGTAAGTGAGACTCTCTGCCAATGGAACAAGACAATTTACGTTTAAAATAAGAAAAAACAACTACATTGTCTTATTTCAAGTGCATATTATCTAATTATCTTATTTTAAAAGTAAAATCTCATTCCATTGGCAAATCATCTTATTTACATACTCAAATTAATTAATAATTAATTTAAGAAATGTTGACTTATTTCTAGATTGTTTTTGCAGTGTGGATGAATTTTTCCTGACTTGTCTGTTTTTCTCAGTCCGGGACGCTGAGTCCTGAGTCCAGGCAGCCGGTCCAAAGTGGTTCCCTGAAGCTGAGTGGGATGGATTTGGACCTGCCAGCTGCTGTCAGGTCTGTAGAGCGACTGATAGTGAGAGCAGAATCACAAAATGTGGATGAATGAACCCCAAGGTACTAAGGTGTCATTGATAAAGTTTGTTCACACACAAAACAGGAATTAAACTTTTATACGTCGCCTTTTACTTAATTGTGATCTAGAATAAAACATCTATGCCTAAAAGGTGAGGAACTGAAGCCCGTCAGCTTAATAATTCCTTTCAGACATCTAACCTCACTTATGTGATTAGAAGTCGTAGTTTAAGAGACGTTTCTGCTGTTAAGCCATAGCTAAGTAGGATGACCAAAAAAAGGTTCATGGGGCCTGCTTCGGTGGTGCAGCGGTTAGCGTGCATGACCCATGTACGAAGGTCTTAGTCCTTGACGCAGCCGACCCGGGTTCAAAATTGACCTGTGGTGCTTTGCCACATGTCTCTTCACCCCTCTCTCATAATGAGCCACTAGTGCCATTAAAATACTCGCCAGCCTAAAATTTGAATCTGTCTGGCCAACACTGTCGCACATTCCTCATAGATACAGACAGAGATGGTAAAAGTACTGACTTTCCGTACTTGAGTAAAAGTACAGATACTTGGGTTAAAAAATACTCTGGTAAAAGTGGAAGTACTGATTAAATTTCTTTACTCAAGTAAAAGTAACAAAGTACAGGCTTGTAAATTTACTTAAAGTATAAAAGTAAAA